GCAATCGAACAGTTGCGGCTAACTGACAATGGTCTGACAGTGAGGTCAGGCTACAGTGGCTCAATGAAGGCGCTAGTCATCTGACGGCAATCCAACGACAACGTTTCGGGTGGTAAAGGGTCAGAAACATGCGGTCAGGTGATGGTTGTTGGGGAAGTAAACACGCAGCGAACACAAACAAAAAAGAGAAAATGCAGCGAAAAGAATGAACACCAGGATTTAATATGAAAAAACCCAAAATCAAGAAAAAATCACGAAGTCACACCAAGCCAGAAATTCACTATGAAAATTGAGATAAACATGTACATATCTATTTCTCTCACACTCTCTTTTTGTCTCTCTTCACTATTCCACTGTTCTCGTACATGAACAAAAAAAAAACCACTTAAACAACCAAAGGATGCAACCCTTCATGAAAAAACGAGAAAGAAAACTGCCCAACCCACCTTGCAGTGCCGTGACGCCAAGTTTGGAGCATCGCAATCCTTCACTTTATTTCCAGTCTACCTGACAGCACCGCAGCTCCTTCGTCTGGAGCGCCGCAACGCTCCTTGGCAAACCGAGGTTTAGAGTGCTACAGTGCTTCGCTCTCTATCTGTCTCCAAGCAAACTATACAGTGCAACAACCCTTGAATACACAACACAGCAGCGCTATACAATTCTATTGGAAAAATATTTTTTCAATAACTCGACCAATAGAATTGAGGCCCGAGGCAACACTACAACTTGATTAATCAACACAATCATATTACACACAAAACTAATAATCTCCCATTTAGAAACTAATTGCGATCAATCCTTCTCTTAATTTGTAGCACCAACAATCATAGTATATCATAGTATTTATAGTGTAGCTCACCCCTGCTCTCATCCTTCATGAAAACCAATTAAAGCTATACATTGCTTCAGTTTACTAATTGTCACCTTCTTCGTTAGAATGTTTCTAGGATTCTTGGTCATGTGAATCTTCTCCAAAGATAATGACCATATTCCATAAGCAATCTGATGAAATGATATCGAAGTTTTTTTTTTTATGGAATAATATCGAAGTTGGATGTGCTTCATCTTGGCATAGAATATAGCATTTTTGGCCAGATGAATAGTGCTCATGCTATCACTATACAACTTCTCATTCCTTTGCCCTCTACAAAGAAACTTCTCAACCATATCATGTCCTTACTAACCTCAGTGATAACAGTATACTTAGCTTCTATGGTTGAGAGCTTAAAAAGGATCTATAATTTGAAAACCCAACTCACTGCAATCTTTTCCAAAATGAAGATTTAAACAGCTATGCTTCTCATACTATCAAGATCTCCAACAAGATCAAAATCTATTTACCCATGTAGATCAATCTATGCATCTTCAAAACAAAGAGCTTTGTTAACTGATCCTTTCAAGTACCTAAGAATTCACTTAACCACCTCACAATGAAGTTTTTCTGGGTTACTCATAAATCTGCTGACTACTCCCACTACATATGTTATATATAATCTCGTACAAACCATAGCATACATCAAACTTCTAACAGCTGAAGAATTCAAAGTCCTCTACATCTAATTTTGCTCAGCTTCAGATTTAGGTGATTCTTCCTTAAATAGCTGAAAAATGATACTCAAGAAAGTGCAACCTAAATTTGCCTCACTCATGTTGAATTTCTAAAACATATTCTGAAACAGTCTCCTGCCAGTCACCGGTTACTATAACTAGATTTAATTTTTTTTTAAAATATTATTTACTTAATTTGATTTACAATCTTAACTACATTAAAAATTTGTCCGTCTTATAATGTTGTTAGGCTTGTTATCTCTCAAATACATTTTGCCCATATCACCTTGAGTGTAGTTCTTGAATATCCCTTATTACGACTGACAAGAAATGAAGCACCTAAATTTATAACCAAATCCAGAGACAAATCAGATAATTTGACTAAAAATTTGTTGGTGATGCATTTGCGAAGTAACTTTTATCTTGACCTCCACCATTAGTCATCTTTGGAACAATATAGTCCTTTTTCAAATGAACTTTTTTTCACAATTCAAGCATATAACTTTCACTTTACTTGAATTAGATTTTTCTCTCTTGAATTTAGATCTTCCTCTACTTGGATTTATATTTATTATTTAAATCCTCTGACTTCAACATTAATAGAAAAATTTATATATTCATCATTCACCTTCCTGCAAACCTCTTTATTAAGCACTAACCCCACAATATTCTCAAAGTTCAACTTTGAAATTCCTAACGAATTACTCACAACAGTGACCAGCCCATCCCAATTATCTAGCAATGAAGATAACAATAACAATGCTCTCGCCTCATCATCAAACTTGATGTCAACTGATTCATCACAGTGTTTAGATATTCAGATGTTCTGCAATTGAAATGTAGTCTAACATCTTCATATTAAATAATTTCTTCATCAAGAACAATTTGTTTGAGGCTAACGGCTTCTCATACATTTTAGTTAGTGCAACAATGAGAGTGACTGTAGTTCTCTAATTTATAATGTTGAATGAAACATATGAAAAAGTGAAAGTCGAATCAAATCTAAGGTTGTATGATCAAGAACCTCCCACTCCTCCATAGTCATTGAATCTAGCTTCTTGGTGACAGCCAACAACAAATACAACTTATATTGGTATAGAAAATCTTCAATTTGCATCTTTCAGAATGCAAAGTTTGAACTGTTTAACTTCTCAATCTTATATTTTGTTTCATCGGCCATCACTGTCACTTGAACTAAAGAATATGGCTCTAATAACAATGCAGCTAGGGGTGTCAATTTCAGAATGCAGTTAGGGAAGTAAACATGCAGCTAGGGGTGTCAATTTCGGGTCACAGGTCGGGTTCGAGTCGAACTCGAACTGACCCAGCACTATTCGGGTTCCGGTCAACCCGACCCGTTTTTACAAACGGGTCGATTTTTCGGACCCGAACCGACCCACTTCGGGTTCGGGTCAACCCGACCTGACCAGCTTCGGGTTCGGTCATTCGGCATTTTCCGTACAAGCGACAACTCGCGGGAGATGGCAGTGCCCGCCGGTGGTGCAGGAAACTCGGGGCATGCACCAGACGGCGACACGACTCGTGCAGGCGACGACGTGACTTGGGCTATCGGGCAGGCAACGCTCGTCACGCGGGCAGGCGACCGCGACGCGACTCCGTCTCGGGCAGGCTACGCGCGGGCAAGCTACGCGCGGTCACCCAAGCAGGCGACCGCAACGCAACTCTGTCTCGGGCAGGCTACACGCGGTAACGTGGGCACCGGGGCATGCAAAGTGGGGCATCCGGGGCAGTTTTCGGGTCATTCCGGGTCATTTTCGGATTTCTGGGTCTACCCAAACCCGACCCGATTTTGCAAAAGGGTCAATTTTCCGAACCCGACCTGCTTCGGGTTCGGGTCAACGCAAACCCAAAATTTTATGGTCGGGTATTTGGGTCGGGTACAATATTGACACCCCTACATGCAACGAACACAAACAAGAAAGAGAAAGTACTGCGAAAAGAAAGAACATTAGGATTTAATGTGGAAAAATTCGAAACCAGGAAAAAATCATGGAGCCAACCACACCAAGAAATTCACAATGAAAATTGGAAGAATTTTATATATATATCTTTCTCTCACTCTCTCATCGTCTCTCTTCACTTTTGCACCGTTCTCGTACATGAACAAATAGAAGGAAACCCACTAAAACTACCAAGGGAAAGAACTCTTTATGAAAAATAAGAAAGAAAATTGCCCAGCTCGCCTCACAGTGTTGTGACGCTCCACTCTCTATATCCAATCTACCTGACAGCGGCGCAGCACCAGGATCTGGAGCATCGCAACGCTCTACTCTTTGTTTGTCTCCAAGTAAACTATACAGCGCCACAGCACTTGGATACATAGGCTGAAGCACTGTACCATCAACATCACAACGCATTTGATGATAGCAATTGGGTGATGGCATAATGGCGGCGATCGGGTGGTGAACTAACAACAACGATCAGGCAGCAAACGTTTGACGATGGTGGTACTCTGGTGGAGCTTCTAAATCTTCAAATCTTTGAGCACTCTTGCTTCTCAAGCCAAGGGTTCTCTTTCATGTAGAGGGGGTATATTTATAGATTTTTTAGAGTGGCATACTCTGTCAATATGGAGAAAATCTTAAATATTCCATCAAATGGCTTGTATCGATTCCCCTTGATTATAAAATGTTCATCCAACATCAAAGTGTATTAATGTTACTAGAATTAAGCGATCTTGAGTTCATTGGATTCATCTCATCTATACTTTTGTCTTAGCTATAAGCATGCTAAATTTGGATATCATGATTCATCCAATTATTATTCTAAAATTTTTTACCATACTTCAAGCTCTTGATATAGGCTGATTTGAACTCGAATGAGGTCACTTTTGGAGTAGTTAAGTTCATTTTGTCAAGCATTAATTTGAATATGAGTTCGTTGAAATCAAAATCTAGACGGTCCTGAATTTAATTTTAGAAACTTCCAATTTAAGTGTGCACCAAGATTCGTGCTTGATCAAGCCGATTTTTGATGATGTATCAAGCATCATCATAAATATAGCTGGGGGTTATGCTAGTATGGGAGTAAAATGATCAATTTCATTCATTTATTTATTTTTTATTATTTGGGTCATTTGCAAAAACGCTTTGCAGTTGATTTCTATTTAGGAAAAATGTCAATAGTCTTAAAACTTTGCAGAAAAAGGCTATACTTAATCCTATTTTCAGGAAAAGACAAACATTATATGCATTTGTGCTTGGCTTTTTTGAAACCTAGTATCACCATTTGTCATAAAACCCTACTATACAAGTTAAATAAAAGTCTAGTAGTAATATCAAGAATGCGCAATAAACACTAATAGTAATACCCAGGTAGCAAGAAAACCAAGAATATATGTCAGGACTTCAGAAACCCTAACATGTTTGCTAGGATTATTTGTCCTTTTTTATTCAAAACGATAGTATTTCTCAACAACAATGAACAAATTATAAAAAAATCCCCTTTTTTCATATTATCATCTCATTGGAATTTCTTCTCAAACATAATACAACATAAAGGCTCCTTGGATACAGCGATTCCATTATGTTCAACGAAAACAAACCATACAGGGCATAAAGCTTCCTCTTTGTACCTTTTAGTTTCTTCGTTAAATGGCTATCTGCAATTACAAAAGGATAAACCAAATAGCATGCCCCCATATATACCACTTAGTTCCGAACAGGAAGAGGGCAAGTAGCTTCACACCAACAGATTTTTTATTAATATATTGTCCACTTAAACCATCCATGAGCATTACTCAAGCCAAAATTACTGTATTGATGATTGGAAAAAACTTACCGGAACAACATAAAGCATTACATCTACGGAACAATGATGGCATTTCGGATATTACTCCACCACATCAACAACAGGCTTCTCCCTATGCTGCACATACTGATGAAGGATAGCTAGTCTCGCAGTCTCGAAGGCAAAGTATCCAATTGCAGAAAAACATGAGCTGTGCAAAACCCTAGGACCAATTCCCCTAGCCAGTCCCGCCCACCCCTCTTCCATCAATATCTGTCTCACAGTCTCTGATATCTTCTTCGTAGCCTCCCCATGAGCCTGCGTCATTAGCCTCGTCTTCACCACATCCAGAGGAGTAGTCAGCGATGCCGATAACCCCCCAGCAATTGCACCACACAAAACACTCTGTGCTGGCTCAAGATACGCATTTCCCGTCCTGCTCAACACGAAGCTCTTCAAGTACTCGAACGATGAGTAACTCAGAATCCCAGCGGGTAGATTCCGGAGTAAAGTTGCAGAGTAACCAGTGTACAGCCCCATGATGCCCTCTTTCTCAAGAATCCTGAGAACAACCTCCCAGGATCGGCCGGCTGCGCCAGTCTGCATCCGCTGGGTAATGAGCTCCTTGGGAACCATGATGGCGGAGGAGATTATGTTGCCCATGGCGCCGGCAGTCGGCGGGATAAGAAAGAGAGGGTATGCGGAGAATTTGGAGAGAAGGGATTTTCCGAACTCGCATGTGCCGAAATAGACAGCGGAGGAGGAAGCAGAGCCAACGAGCACGGCGGAGACTCCGCGGTAGAAGCCAAAGAGGCCGTGACTCCGGAAGGTCTGGAGAGCGGCGTCGAGGGCGCCGGCGTATATCTGGGCAGCGCCGCGAGTCTGGAGCTTGGTCTTGATGGTGTCAATTGGGAGTAGGCAAACGTAGGTGAAAGCTCCGGCGATGCCGCCCGCAGAGGCGCCGATGAGGGCGCGTTCCAGGACGGAGAGGGAGCGGTGGAGGGATCGAGATGGAGGAAAGGAGGCGAAGGAAGGGGAATTGAGCCATTGGGACCGAGAGGAAAGGGAGGTGGAAAAGAAAGTGACATGCCCTCTTCTTTTAGTGCGAACCGTGTTGAAATAGGGTTTCGGAGGAGAGCAGAGGAGAAGGGTATTGATATTGATGAAGAGGGAGTTGAAATCTTCAGGTAGTTCGCCGGAGGAATCAGAGAGTCGGAGATCCATTCCCGAGAATTTGCCTCAGTCTGATTTGGCGCTTAGAACAGAGAAATGGACAATTGATATTGCAGGACATAAATAATCTAGAGGCCTTTGCTTTTGTAAAAAATAGATGTATTAAGAATAAATTAAATGAATTTTCTATTTAAAATATGAGAATTTTACATACATATTACTTTATTTTATGTTATTTATAAATTTAACATCTAAAATATTAATATTACATGTCTATCACCCATATATAATTTTAATATCAAATATATCACTCCTATAATTTATTTCTACCATTCATATCATCATATAAATTTTAATATTTCATTACATGCACATAAATTTGTTCTATGAGTGGTAGGCATGTAATATTAATGTTTTAAGTATTAGATATATAAATATGATGAAATAAAGTGGTATGTATGTAAATCCCCCCTTAAAATATATTTGAATGCTTGTAAAAAATTTTTAAGAGTTTAGCTTTTTTATATTTGATTGTTTAAAAAGTAAAATCAGTTTTTGAAATAATATATGATTGGCTTCATCTCGAGTGTAAACACGTGTGTTTTGAAATGATGCTATTTAGAAAGCTTTATTTTAAACATAATGTATTTTGATAATGCATTTGAAAATCAATTTGAAGTTATTTTTAGTGTATTTAAAATTCATTCGTTTTAAGTTGATTTCAATAACACCGCTTGTTGTAAAGGTGACGACAATCATTATTGGTCATTGCCCGCTGCTATTGCCACAACTAGTCGTGCTCATCACCACTGGCTGCACTTACTGTCAACTATCTTCAATCAACAATTGTTTTAAATGCACAACTTTTTTTTTTTTTGCATTCTCTTATTTCAACCAAACAAAAGGGTAAAATTTAGCATTTGTAGTATACTTAACCAAACAACTTAAAAATATAAAATACACATATTTATGTTACATATAATTCATCTTGTATCAAACCAAATAACTCCTTATGAATTTGTTAGACTTCTAACATTACAATGCTTATGGATGCCAATTATCGCTTATTATTATATTATCAAATGATTAATTATTCAACTTAATAAATATCTTTGTTGTGTCCTGAAGTATTCGCGACATTAGAGAAATATAAAGTTTAACATCTTAACTTTGTACAAAGATCCAGCACGCAATCAGATAAAAAGTGAGGGTGTGTCATTCATAAGAGACACCAAGATTTTTACGTGGAAAACCCTAAAAGCGAAAAAAACCTCAGGGCTTGACCCAATTTGAATGAATTCATTATTATTTGCAGTCGAGTACAAATGAGGCCCTTTTTTTGGGGGAAGGCCTTAGCTTGATGTAACAAATGTACATCATATAGTGTGTTACATGATGGGACTTGAAAGAATCACTATTGATACATCAGTTTGGTCTATAGAACAATAGTTTTCGGGCGACGAAGGTCGAAAAGATCGTAGTCCGGTGACGGTGGTCGGAGGGACTGTAATCAGCGGGTGATAGGGGTTAGAAAAGACTGTTGTCTGGCAACGAAGGTCGGAATGACTGCATCTGTCTATATAGGTCAAAAGGACCGTTGTAGGTAGGTGATAGTGGCCAGAAAGATCTTTGTTTAGCAACGGATGTCGGAAGTACCGTTATCGGTAGGTGACACCAGTTAGAAAGATTGTTGTCTGGTGAAGGAGATCGAAAGGATCGTAGTCAGCTAGCGTCGGAGGTTGGAAGTTCAGCGATGGGCGGAAGTTCGGCATTATGTAAAAGTTTGACTAAAGTCCGGCAACTGACAAAAGTCTAGTGTTAGGTAGAAATCAAGCAATGGGAGAAAGTTTGGCATCGAGTAGAAGTCTGATGAAAGTCTGACGACCGGCAGAAGTTCAACGATGGGCTGAAGTTTATCGTCCAGTAGAAGTCGGATGAAAGTCTGACAACATGCAGAAATCCGACAACGGGGGGAAGTCCGACGTCGGGTAGAAGTCCGCTGAAAGTTTGGTGAAGGAAATAAGTTTGACAACGGGCGAAACTTCAACGTCGGGGAGAAGTCTGACTAAAGTCGACCGTCGGGCAGAACTCTGACGTCAGTTGGCGGTTGGGCAAAACTACAGCTTCAGTCGGCTGTCGGGCATAACTCAGGCATTGGTCGACTGCCAAGCAAAATTCTGACGTGAATCGGCGGCCGGGCAGAATTCTGACATCAATCGGCATTCAGGCAGAACTCCAGTGTCGGTGAGCTATCGGGTGGAAGTCTAGCGGTGGTCGAGGAAGAGTCTGGTGGCAAGAGAACTTATCATTCTTTTCTTGTTTGGGCTCTCTTCCCCCCTCCCCTTGGGCATTTTCTTCCTCCCCCCCCCCTTGGGGATCCCCTTCTATGAGAAATGATTGGTCTATTTATAGTTTTATGAGAATGGCATGACCAGCAAATAGGAGAAAGATCAAGTGTAATTTGGGAATGGTTTGAATGGACGGTTGAGGTTGAATCATTTGATCATGAACTATTTATTAGCCATTTGAATGTCTTTATGATATAAAAAATTCATGATCTTGGGCTCGTTGGATTTGTCTCATCACGTTGTTTGATTCGCCTATAGTGATTGCTTATGCATATCAACAATTGAAACCACATGAGAGAAATTATTCGATACATGATCTTGAGTTAGTTGTGTTGCATTTGCATTGAAGATTTGGAGACATTACTTGTAATGAGTCAGATGCGAGATCTTTACTAAACATCGGAGTTTGAAGTATACTTTTACTCAACAAGATTCAAATTTGAGTCAAAGAATGTGGTTAAAGTTGATCAAGGATTATGATCTATCTATTCAGCATTAGTCTGATAAGGCAAATATGGTAGCATATGCATTGAGTAGGAAGTCTTTAGGTACTTTTCTTTTTTTATATATAGATTTTCTTATTCGATATTTCAAGAAATTAGAGATAGATGTGGTATCTACTAATACAGATCCAAATTTATTAGCTCGGATGATTATTCAACCAACTATACATGAAAGAATTCAAGAAGCTCAGAAATCAAATACAAAGTATCTAAAGTTGAGTGATCATATTAAGTTTTATCAGAGTCATGAATTATCTTTATCTTATTATGGAATCATTTTCTATAAGGATAGACTATGGGTTCCTTCTATTGGTGAGCTGAGAGTTGAGATACAGCATGAGGCACATTACATGGGCTACACTATTTATTCAGGAAGTAGTAAAATATATGGAGATTTGAAAGTTACATGCTAATGGCATGGATTAAAGAAAGATATAACTGAGTTTATTTCGAAGTGTGAGGTCTGTCAGTTAGTGAAGGCGGAACATCAACGACCAAGTGGTCTTCTGCAGTCATTATCTATCCCTGAGTGGAGTAGATGGTGATAGACATTGCAATGAGTTTCCCCAGATCGAGGCAGGGACATGATGCCAAGGTTTAACTCTTTGAAGAGTTTGTGAATATTTGTATTAATAAATTATTGGGGAAATTCATGACTATGGTTAGTCATTTAGAAGTCTTATTTATTGAAGTCACCAATAATATCAAGATTGATTCGATTAATCTAAAGGTAAATATCGTGATGCAATGGATTAATGTGAATTCTTCATGGGTGAGTCAATTCATCAGAGGTGTTGAGTTTTTACTTGGGCATCTTGCTCATCAATGCTTAGCTGCTAAAGTGAAGCTTACCAATCTTATTATACAAGCCACATTATAAGTGGTGACTTCTTCTTTAAGTTTCATCAAGTTTATGCATACTTGTAACCACTCGATTTTTTTTTTTTTAATTTTATTAATGTTGACTATGCATTTGATGTTATTTTTTTATCATTTCAAACCCTTATGATCAATTGGCTACAATTTTTTTTTTGTTGCAAAATGATAGTGAAATGTCTCATATTTCGCTAAAAACTTAACTTGTGGAATGATGGAGGCATGTTTCAATTTCTTTTAACTTTCTTTATAAGTAGTGCAAAATGTTCCTATTCAAACATTTACTCATGTTACATGGCTTCTTTTGAGAATTCTATGCATTGAGAATTCTCCTCTTCCCCTTTGTTCTGAGAATTTTTATTTTTAAAAATATCTTTTGTCTTTTCTCAACTGTGTGAATAACTTTTTGGCTTCAAATTGGGAGTTTACCTTGTTGGTTTCTCAATACATCATGAATTTGGTGATTCTAAGATTGGTGAGGGCTTCACAATTTGAGCTATAAAATCAAATGAGTTCCATGATTCAAAGGAGGATGAGTTGCATTTTTAGAGGGTTTGGTTTTGTCTTGGACTACATGTCTAGGTCTACAATTCTTTGTAAAGATAGAGTCGGTCATCTATTATTATAGTATAATACCTACGTAGATAATGTCAATTTCATGAACGAGTATTTTAACATTCATTGTGTACATGTGAGAATAATGGGTAAGGCAGAGCTTAATTTTTTTCTTAGTCCATATTCACCATATAAGGGAACAAAGACATGGTAGTGCTTTCTTCAAAATATATAAAAAATGAATGATTTGAAAACCAAGTAAGAAACTAGAATAGGAGTTTCTTTTTTGTTAAGTTTGTAGGGGGGTGGCCTTTCATTACAGGATCTAGTGAGATTCTATCATTCATATTAGATGCTCTGTATTTGCCTAATGAGGAGATTGAGTTTTACCTCAATTTGTTGGAGAGAGAGTTATATTGCATTAAATATATCTCTTTTGTGATAATTGTGGCCACACTTGTGATTAATCATAAGCGACAACAAGGAAGACCTCATGTTTGCTGGGTAATATTCTAGCCAAGTCACTAACATGACGACTACTTAATTCATCATTACAGCTCCAATTGCCCCATGTCGATAATAACAATGACTTCTATTTCAATAGTAATTAATAATGCTTTGTAATTGTTATGATGTCAACTTCATATGTTGAAGTGGTCTCAAGAGTGGTTTCCTCTACACCCTGAATAAGCACCATCATGTTGTTGTAATGTAAGAAGGTTGAAAAAAACTAACAAGGAAAGCAAGGGTGACTTCTTCTTGATTCTTCCCATCCTTACAAAGATTTCAAGGTAGGTTGTCAATTGAGGAAGGGTAGTTGGAAATTAGTTGTGATG